CTAATTTATAAATTATAAATGTTCTGTGCATGAACAACGCTGTCAAATCACCACTGTCCGTCACAGAAATGTTTAACTAAAGTGTTAATAACAATTAACCTAATATAGTTAATGAAGAAATATTGAAATAAAATTACTTCATCAAGCTGTGATCACCAAACACTGTTATATATATTAATTACCTGGTGATTTGTGACTTGTAATCTACCTTTCTTTCTGTCCAATACACTACATATGATCATCTGTATTTCCGACTAACACATATTTATATACATTTTACTTACAATATACTGTGTTCATATTTCAGCCCTGTCAGCAGATAGGTATCAGATGTAAATTTTATTTTCTTTATAGTAAAGCCTATTTCTTAAATAAATTCAATATTTTTAATCTGATTTCATATACAAATTATAAATTTAAAATTAGAAAAGATTCTGCTGGCATTTTTACACAGGATCATAATTTTCTTATCAACGATCTGTGACATTGTAAATCAACATATATCTGTCTTTGAATTTAAAGTATTTACCAACCTTGTTTATCTCTCCAATCTTTGTAGGGATCTGAAATGCACTGTTTATTAAATAGGCAATAATTTTATGAGGATATTCATAATGGCCATTTAGACCCATCACACGATGATGACACACGAACCCAGAATGTAGTTACGTAACCAGAAAATGGAAATTGGTCACAAGAGATTAACTTTAAATGTGATGATACAAAAATACAGATATATCCTACTTGGTTTCCTTTTGGATTGATTTGTGTGAGATCTTTTATAGAAAATACATTTATTTAATGGTTATTTCACAAGGATAACTTTTTATTCAGTTTGTGAGCTATGGTGTCTGTGGAGTTTAGGGACGATTTGAACCCTGGTAGGCATTTTGTATAATTCTTTAACTATTGCCCTGGGTATTTAGGGTTTAGGGATATACAACTTTGACAAATTTTGTATAATTTGTTAACTGTTGCCCTGGGTATTTAGGATTTAGGGACATTCAACTTTGACAAATTTTGTATAATTTGTTAACTATTGCCCTGGGTATTTAGGGTTTAGGGATATACAACTTTGACAAATTTTGTATAATTTGTTAACTGTTGCCCTGGGTATTTAGGATTTAGGGACATTCAACTTTGACAAATTTTGTATAATTTGTTAACTATTGCCCTGGGTATTTAGGATTTAGGGACATTCAACTTTGACAAATTTTGTATAATTTGTTAACTGTTGCCCTGGGTATTTAGGGTTTAGGGATATACAACTTTGACAAATTTTGTATAACTTGTTAACTATTGCCCTGGGTATTTAGGGTTTAGGGATATACAACTTTGACAAATTTTGTATAATTTGTTAACTGTTGCCCTGGGTATTTAGGATTTAGGGACATTCAACTTTGACAAATTTTGTATAATTTGTTAACTATTGCATTTACAACTTTGACAAATTTTGTATAATTTGTTAACTGTTGCCCTGGGTATTTAGGATTTAGGGACATTCAACTTTGACAAATTTTGTATAATTTGTTAACTATTGCCCTGGGTATTTAGGATTTAGGGACATTCAACTTTGACAAATTTTGTATAATTTGTTAACTGTTGCCCTGGGTATTTAGGGTTTAGGGATATACAACTTTGACAAATTTTGTATAACTTGTTAACTATTGCCCTGGGTATTTAGGATTTAGGGACATTCAACTTTGACAAATTTTGTATAATTTGTTAACTGTTGCCCTGGGGATTTGGGATTTGGGGACATTTAACCTTATATGACTTTTCAGGTCACAGTTCGTAAACCGTTGTCCAGAGTATGTTGGGTTCCCAGATGGTTTATAAGTATTGCCCAGTATGTGTGAGATTTATGGATGTTAAAGATTTTTATGTCATTGTCAGTAGATACATAGGATTTAGTGAAGTGCAGTGGGGTCGTGATGTTGGGTAGCACTTTCTGCTAACTCAAAAAAAGCAAAGGAATAGAATTGAAAAAGCAACTGGAAATTTTCCAGCATGATTAACATAATATAACTCAGCTGAAATAATTTTATTTGTTGACGGTGTAAATATATGTAGTGATGCCATATATTGTGTACAATGAACTAACAGTCCCACTATACATAAAGGATAAGTGTTCCATTATTTGGTTGATTGTTGTGTTGTGTGGATCTATATTCAGTTAAGTTATTTACAATGCAAAAGCATTCCAAACCACTTCAACATAAATTACACAACTTACTTTCAGCATTATCGTAAATTATTTTCTGAAGTGAAAGAAGTAAATTCTGGCATCAATAAAAAAGGCCATAACTCAATATTTTTCATTAGTTTAAAAAAAAAATGAGATGATGTCATAATAAAACAATTTTGTTTCAATTTCATTTTAAGGGTGATAACTCTAAAAAAAGAATGACACTGAATTTTGTCTCCTACTTTCCTATCGAAATAGACAGGAGATACTTTTGTTTCCAAATTTGTCTCTTTCTCTTTTGAAAAGTTGAAACATTTTTGATTATCAAGATATACATACATAAAATAAGACCATATCTTTATCATGTTTCACAACTTTCCTTCGGTTTCTCTTCACCATTGTAAAATAAGGCTGAACAAAATGGGTGGGAGTTATCTCTATTGAGTTTCTCTTGTCTAGACGTTTAAGAGCTCAATTTACCAAATCTCAACTTTTGTTATGGTTTTTGTACATTGCATTAAGGACAATTAATTATTTTAAAACTCTTCCCATGCCTCAATAAATAAATAAAACATTATCTAATTGATTTCATTGCCAGTAATAGATTACATTCACATGATCAATTGCCTATGAGCATGTGTTAGAATTTACAAAAGAAAGACAAAAATTTAGAATCTCCATGTTATTTCTGACCAATAGGTTATCATGTAACAGATATGAGACTGTAAGGATATGTTTGATTGCCCAACCCAACATCCTTTATTCAACATTAAAAAAAAAATGAGGTGTAAAAGTTAAACCTCATTATCTCAAACTCATATAACTTAAAGACCCCATTTAATTCAAAGTATTTCATTTGTGCTGGCAAAATTTCACACAAAATATTTGAACACACTTAAACAAAAATTTCTCTGATAACTTGAGGTTTACCCCCATGGTTCCGCTAACTTTGAGATAATAAGTTCAACTATATTTATATGAAACAGCCTTTAGTATTAAGCAACTAACTAGGTCTACACTATTAGCATGCCATAGCTGTTTATACCTTGAATCCTTTTATATCTTTAAATACACAAACATCAGCTATTTGCCCTGCACTTAGAATGTATAATTGTATGTGATTGCAGCAAGCATGTGTATTGCTCCCTCTTCAAGCACAGGTGCTCCACCTATTGACTTGAAATGTGAGGTAGAAAGGTCTTCCTATCGTGTAACCAATACGACAGTAACAAGATTTGTACTTCAGCCAAAGTTTTAAGTAGAAACACTCAAAGGAAACACTAATATTACAATAGGTTTTTATCAGAAAATGTTGATATCATTGAGACATGTATATATTTTGAGTTTTGGACCTATTCCCGAAATACGCCATGAAAGGTTCAGTTGACCATTCTGTAATTTAAATACTAAGATTGTCTGTACTATTTTCAGTCTGATTATTATAATTTTACATGTTTTTAGTTCAATGATCTATTCTTTTATGTTAATGTATAATTTGTATTGTTTCCTGCACCGAATCATATCAGTTCTGTTGGATCTAACTCTTTGTATTCCGTTGTTACGATATGTTACTGTTCCTTTACTATCTAGTTAGAACAAAGCTTTCCAAGTGCCTTTCACATTTTAAGTGCTTGTGTTCATGTTGTGATGTCACGATATTGAGTACAGAGTGCTTTGAAGAATACAGAAATTTTAATTAATGCTAATTTCATTTGTGTAAAATCATCTTTAAGTCTAGTAATAATTAAAAGTAAGTCAAACAAATTCAGGAAAGTGGAAATGTGGTCAAAATAAATTTTTTGTTAATATTAGCCACTGGCAGAGTGCAGAGCTGTGACCTATGCTCCATGCCTTTCAATCCTGGGAGAATTATTCCCAGATAGATCAAGTCCTGAGACTTCTCATTCTGGACCTGAACAAAACACGATCTTACACATGTTACTTGTATAGTGCTTCACTCCTAATATTTCAGATATGATGAAGTACTTCCTGTTTCTAATATCTGAGATATGATGCAGTACTTCCTGTTTGTAATATCTGGGATATAATGCAGTACTTCCTGTTTCTAATATCTGAGATATGATGCAATACTTCCTGTTTCTAATATCCGAGATATGATGCAGTACTTCCTGTTTCTAATATCTGAGATATGATGAAGTACTTCCTGTTTCTAATATCTGAGATATGATGCAGTACTTCCTGTTACTAATATCTGGGATATAATGCAGTACTTCCTGTTTCTAATATCTGAGATATAATGCAGTACTTTCTGTTTCTAATATCCGAGATATGATGCAGTACTTCCTAGTTCTAATATCTGAGATATGATGAAGTACTTCCTGTTTCTAATATCTGAGATATGATGCAGTACTTCCTGTTACTAATATCTGGGATATAATGCAGTACTTCCTATTTCTAATATCTGAGATATAATGCAGTACTTTCTGTTTCTAATATCCGAGATATGATGCAGTACTTCCTGTTTCTAATATCTGAGATATGATGAAGTACTTCCTGTTTCTAATATCTGAGATATGATGCAGTACTTCCTGTTTCTAATATCCGAGATATGATGCAGTACTTCTTGTTTCTAATATCTGAGATATGATGCAGAACTTCCTGTTTCTAATATTATGGATCCAGGTTATGCTTTCTCCTGTTACATAATAATAATTATCATAACATTTTTACATACAATTCACTATGTCCTATTAACATTACCATGTAGCACATTGCTTTGCCATCATGTAGATCAAAGTTATCTATATACTACATAACATGTGATTTATTTTGATCATTTTCTCTTCCACAGACTGCCTTGATGTACTGAACCGAGGCCACACGACAAGTGGTGTGTACTATGTAACACCTACATACTCCTCATGCTCTATCCCAGTTTGGTGCGATATGGAAACTCCACCTGGTGGCTGGTTATTGATTCAAAAGAGAAAAAACGGTGCAGTTGACTTTGATCGATTTTGGAATGAATACAAAGACGGATTTGGTAACGTGGTGTCTGAATTCTGGATCGGACTGGACAATATGTTTCTCCTGACCAATCAGGACCACTACGAGCTGCGTGTGGACTTGTGGGATTTTGATGACAATCGTGTGCATGCTCTTTATAAAAATTTCAAAATTGACGGGGAGCGCGACAAATACCGATTACATATTAGCCATTATGAGGGAAGTGCTCAAGACAGTTTAGAAATGCACAAAGGTATGAAGTTTAGCACACCTGATCAGGACAACGATAACTGGAATAACTACCACTGTGCACGCGAGTGGACATCTGGATGGTGGTATAACAACTGTTGGTCTGCATTACTCAACGGACAATATCACAATCGATCTGATGTTAAATTCAGAGGGATTACATGGAATGATTGGAAGCACGAACAACTCGCACGAACGGAAATGAAAATTCGGCCTAGCAGACTTTATCATAACAATACTGTGCCGCACAAGAGATAGGAAATGTTGACTAGTAATAGTGAGATTCAATATTCTTAGTGGATACATCTGTTACTGTGATCAAATGTTTCAAGTGTAATAATGACAATGACCAAAATCTTGGGCAGCAAAACACTTGAAGGCAATAGAACACTATATGATTGATATATTCTCTAGTACTCCACAAAAGTATTGTGTAAAACAATGGAAAATGCATAGAAATTGTTTGCACAGCTAAATAAGACTGATCCAATGCTTGTTTAGTGTCCTAAGCAACGAAAAAAGATGGTTCACAAACGAAACACTCAAGGTCATAACAGGAGTGAACATTAACCAATTACATTCATTATTGTTGTGCTTAAAGGCTACTGCAGCTGTGATACAGAACCTTATATTTGTGTTGAGTTACTTCCGGATAACGTACGGCACAGGACATTTCACTGTTACCAACCATATTCCTAATTCCCATTCTAGGAAGCACCAAAACTCTGATGAAGTTAAGGCTATATAATACCAGAGTAAATTATCAAGGGGAAGTAACTCAAGACATAATTTGCATTGAACTGACATCAATAGCCAAAAATGACTATGCTCCATGTCTGCTTTTTATAGCAGTAGCTATATACCCAAGAGTGGTGATTTTACAAATATGATAAAAAAATCTGGTGCCATGTATCAATCTGTTTATACAATATTTTCTATTATACAATGGCCAGTATTACATACTAAAGGGCAATCACTGTATATGTATGCATGGCTGAACGAATGTTATTGTATTCCAGTGGTTTGTAAAATCATGAACATTGCTTGATGACTATTCATGACACTCCACTTGTTATTGGTAATGTTCGAATAAAGGTCAAACTATATTATGTCAGGGCTTTCTCCTCCTAACTGGCTAATAAGAATAAGCCCCTCAAAAGTATATACATAATATGTAGATGGATGTGAAAGGAGTGAAAGTTGTTTTGTATAGAGAGAATGTTACAAAAAAATATTTTTATCTCTTTGTGAAAATCCATTGTGATTTTATTGTTTTTTTTCTATTTATAAGCTTAAATATCAATATAATTCCAATACTGAATACATTTTATGTGTTTATAAGAAAAAAGCATTCAATGTTATACATAAGAATTGATATTTCTCATTTATCATGTAAATGATGTTGTCTTCTGATAAATATTGTAAATCAAAAATTACCATTATTATTGAGATTTGAGTGCTGGCCATTTAATCAAAGAGCGTCAAATGGACTTGACTTGAACATATTTTGTTCCAAGGATGTCGAAGTAAAATGTCAAGCAACAGAAATGGACTTCGATGGTATGGAGCTTTTGACTTGTGTCTAGGATAATCCTCGCTGTATGGAGGCATCTGTAGCTTTAAAGTCTCTAAATGACGGAGCTGATGTACATATATTTATACCTATAACCTAGCTTGGTAACATAATAGTAAGGCTGAGGCAGTACAGGACTCGTCAAATGTCAAATCCTGGACAACTATTTTATAACGTGTCTTGGACATACAATGTGTTAAGCACAAACAATATATGTCTATATGTCAAATGATTGGTTTCCAGGTCAACTGCTTCAGGGCAACTGTCTTGGACATACAATGTGTTAAGCACAAACAATATATGTCTATAGGACAACTAATTTGTTTCCAGGACAACTGCTTTAAAATGTGTCTAAGACAACTGATTTGTATCCAAGACAACTGCTTTGTATTCATGACAACTATTTGATGATGTGTGTAGGTCATACAACATGTCTATAAGGATAATTAATTTGTATCATGGACAACAGTTTTACAATGTGTCTAGGACAACTAATTTGTATCCTGAGGACAACAGTGCTTTTATGTGTCTGGGACGAATAATTTGTATGTGTCTAGGACAACTAATTTGTATCCTGAGGACAACAGTGCTTTTATGTGTCTGGGACGAATAATTTGTATCCAGGACAACAGTTTTACAATGTGTCTAGGACAACTGATTTGTATCCTGAGGACAACAGTGCTTTAATGTGTCTGGGACAAATAATTTGTATCCAGGACAACTGTTTTACTATGAGTCTTAAGACATCTAACGCATATCCAGGACAACAGTGTTTCCATGTGTCTAGAACAAGACAACTGTTTTACATACATAAACATGCCTAAAACAACTCATTTGTATCTAAGACTGATAATGTATTAAATTTCAAATTTTGAATTAAATTTAATATACAACAGTTATATAATAGTTCCAAGAACACTGCCATATGATTTTTTTCTTTAAGAATGTATACACAGTTAAATGTGACACAAATTTTACAAAACTAAAAGAGTGACTACAAGTAAAAATGGGTACATGGATACCCTGGATACATGACATCCTCAATATATCACATTCTCAATATATCACATTCTCAATACACAGACACCCCGAGATACACAGACACCTGAGATACGTAGACGCCCGAGATACACAGACACCTAAGATACACAGACGCCCGAGATACACAGATACCCAAGATACACAGACACCCTCAGATACACAGACACCCGAGATACTTAGACGCCCGAGATACACAGACACCCAAGATACACAGATGCCCGAGATACACAGACACCCTGAGATACACAGGTGCCCAAGATACACAGACACCCGAGATACACTGACGCCCGAGATACACAGACTCCCGAGATACACAGACACTCGAAATACACAGACTTCTTGCATACATCAACTTCCCAGATGCATCAACATTCCAGATACATTGAAATTCTGGATACACCACAACTTGGAAAAGCTGACATTCTTGATACACCAATGTCTTGACGACATCATGTGACTTCCTGATACATTGACTTGCTGGAAATGTCCTCGATACAATTCTACCATTATCGTGGACAGAATATCGAGCACCAATCACGGAATAGTGTGATAAGAAGTGGTCATCAAACTATTACCAATGGCAAACATGACCTCTAGTGGCCTAGGGAATATAGACAACTGAAAACTATTTTTCTGTGAAAAGTATTAAATGGCATATTTTCGCAGAACAGCAGTATCAAATCAAAAGTGTTGCCATGTGACTGAGACAATCTGGTGAAGTTACTGTGGGCGAAAAACAGCAGAAAAGCAGAGAATTATACCTCTGTATTAGGATTATACTGCTGTAATTAACTAAGACTGGCAGTTGCCCAGACAGGTTTCGGAATTTATTGGTCAGTCATATTATACAACTGGTGCTTCTTTATAAGACTGACAGCTGATTATGTGTTCAAGTGACAATGTTGCTAAGTGTCTTAATCACTGCAGTGCCTGAAATCTATCTGCCTTTGATCAATGAATGATATAGCTTGATCACGGTACCTTGCATTTGTTTTAATGCTCTCAACTGCTAATGTGTAATAAACAATTTAAAACTTGTACAGTTGTTGTGATTAGATGACATACAACAGAAATCATTTGTAGCTGCATTATTTTCATTGTTTATTGCATTTATGAGGTAAATGTCCAAACAAAAGGCTCAATAGTCCTGTATCACTCATCTATTCTGTAGCTCATAAGGGAAGCCTTGTTGAAAAGGTAGATCCAGAAAGCAGAAAATGTTTTTAAACATGTATTTTAAACATTTCTTTGTATTAAGTTCAATGAAGAAAAGAAATATACCTTAAGTTGCTTTATTCATTCAAAGTTTATTTGAATGGCTCATGTAATTTGGAAATTGGTGAAGGTCATTTATTTGAACAAAGTTAGAAGCTCTTCATCCCAGCATTAAGCTGAATTATAGTCATTTGAAAATTTGATGATCCTGGGCCTTTATGTTATAAGATTTGAATACCTTTGACCTCTGTGACCTTAAAAGAAGGTCAAGGTAATTCATCTGATCATGAACAAAATTGGAAGCCATTCATCAGACCATATAACTGACCAAAATATCTTGTTTCTTTCCATTTTCATCTTGATAAGATAGTCGTCAGCAAATTTCAAGATATCTGACCCATCTGGCCTTCAAAGTGTATCAATGTCATTTATTTCAACAAATTTGATGGCCTTCAGAATGCTACTGGCCTTTTTGTGACTGAGGTGATATTTGAAGATTTTTACAATGACCCTTTGACCTTGAAAAAAGTCAGTGTCATTTAACTGAATACACTACAAAGCCACTGGCTCAATATCTTGAATCTAGGAGGGAGGGGAGGAAATCTTGAAATCCCCAGAGAAAAAACCATTGACCTGTGGCCAGTATCTGGCAACTGCCCAGTTACAGTACATCAAATCAACTACAAATAGCCGTGGTACAATGAAAATATGGTTCATGCGAGGATGCCGAAATGTGTTATAGTTGTAAACAAGAGGCCCAAGGGGCTTGCATCTCTCACCTGGATTTCAAAGAAGAATTTCAAAGAAGACAAATTATTTCTGAAAGAATTTCCCTATTGGGTCCTGAACTTTTAGTCAAGTAGAAATCAGATTTACTAATTGTAAAATTTGCTTCAGACCAAACTTGAGAAATATCCTTCTATAGAAACAAAATTTATAAGAACTTATAGTTACCATTTTGAGCCCCACACCTCTGATGTCAGGCTCCTTGTTGATACAAAATTAAGTTCATTACAATAAGAAATGCTTCAGACCAAATCAGAACAGAAATCTAAATTTCTCTTTATCCAATAATGCACCAGGCCAAATTTGGGCAAAATCCAATCATTCCTAAATGAAGAGTAGGATTTTAAAGAATTTGCTCTGTTTCTCCTACTGGGCCTTGACACTCCTACCCATGGGAGTCAAGAGACTATACTTATACAAACTAGGTTTCCCTTTACCCAGGTATGCTTCAGATCAAATTTAGGCGAAATCTGTTCAGTCATTCATCATTCATGACCAGTAGTGATTTTTAGTAGTAACTTGCAGGACGATGGACAGACGGCAGATGCCAGGCCATAGCATAAGCTCATCAGCATGTCAGACCATGTAAGCTGAAGACTAAAACTTTGGTTTGAAACAAAACTAAAATATTCATTTGAACAATCTGGTCAGTTCTTTGCCAAAAAAAAAATGGAAAAAAAAAAACAAATTGGTCTAGTGAATTAGATATACAAGAGAGTTACGTTGTATGGTGGTCAGACTGTGATATTAGAAGAAAACAAAGGGCAGTAACTCTGTATGAAGAGGGAGTGAGACACAAACTATATATTAATATTCTAGTAAAGATAAAGGGACATAAAGTAATGAAGTCAACAAATATCTTAAAAAAGAAACAGAATTTTATCACGTGAAACTAGCTTTAAAGTCAGACAAGTTTCAAGACCTTTGAGGATGGGATAAGGCCCCGATTTCATGATTTTATGCAAAAACACACCCATTTTGTCTGAATTATTTTCTAAAACTGCAGATTTCATAATTGTCAAAAAAAACCTTTACAGTAGAAAGGATGAGTATTTATTATTCAGAAATGAGTTAGTATCCTGTTACAACACCTGTTCATTAATACAGACGATTACAGAGTACATGAAGGTTTAGGGAAATACACACTGACCACAAAACCACATTTATATGACCAGAACCAGATATCTTCACCAGTCATGATCATTTCACCATGAATAATTCAGATAATTCCAGGAATATACCCAGTATTATCACGATGTCAACTTTTAACCATTTTTTACACAAGCTATACACCTAGTGCTCATTAATTATTGTCTCATTAGTATGGCAGATAAGACGAAAATATCTTCACCATGACATATAATATTTATCCTCCAATAACCCACAGGTCGACACATATATTCTTTCTCAAAATAGGGAGATGATCTTCATACAGGCTATGGTTGAAGTAGTTATAAGTGGGCTTATTACCAGATACCAGGTAACCTCAGTATCAAAATGCAGGTCATATGGGCACTGTTAAGTGTGAAATAATGACACCAAGTGAGTGGCGAGTTTAATTAATGTTCCGGATCATCGTACAATTTTAGGGTGTCTGATGTTAGCCAGTACCGTGTCATATAAATTTCATGCTGTCAGGACACTAGGCGTAGTGACCAGTCGATGACCAGTTAATATTGTAGTGTGCCAGATAAGGTCAATTAATGACCCCTGCTGGAGTTTCAAGAGTTTAAACAGACTTTAGAATTCCTTCACTCTCATCTTCATCTCTGATAATTATTACTTTCATCTGTTTGATTGTATCTGTAAATTGTCTGTATCATGCATGTTTTAGTAAGTCCAATGTAAACCTCCGAGCTAGGCACACGTCTACTCATACCTTCCAGTCTTAATACAGTTTAGAACCGAAGACAAGAGTTAATTGTTATTTTCTCTATTGTATCCGGAGGCTGAAGGTAACAGGCACCAGTACTGGATGTGAGTGTACACTGGAATATATGCTTCGAAGAGTATACCGAAATATAGGTATGTCGAAACATTGTCAGCTAATAAGTTTTGCTGATATCTTTCAACGATTGTTGTCAAGCCATAGTCATTTCTACCTTCATTGCTAAAAAGGCCTAAAATGGCAAAACATTAACAAAAGTTTTGAAATAATTTTTTCAGCTAAACTGCTCGAAGGGCAAGTGAACTCATATTGTGCCAAGGAATCTATCCTTTAAAGCTAGCATTTTTTTTCTTAAAACAAATTCTTATTTACAAAGTGACGTTACAGCTACAATTCAAATATTAGGTCAGTTGCAAGCTGGGATGAATGACTTCCCTAGTTTGTTAAAATGAATCAACTTCTCAGAAACCTGAAGTCCCAGGATAATAAAGTAACATCCTGTGATAAAGAGCTAAATAGTTTATGCACATGAATAACCTTGACCCATTTTAAAGGTCACATATACAAAATGTGTTAAAATCTCCAAATAACTTAAGAATACTTCACTTGGGACCTAAGTGAAGAAGGGAATTATGAGTGGAATAAAAGGGCGGTGATAATCCTGGCAGGGGCAGTGAAAATCCTGGAGGGGGCAGTGGAAATCCTGGAGGGAGCATTGATAGTCCTGGAGGGGGCAAAGGAGACCTAGACCTTCCATTTCTTCATTTTCTAGAATAGTCCTCAGTAATTTTGACAGCGAATAAAAACTGCTGAAATCGATTCATCATTCTCTACTTCCAGGACTTTCCCTGCCAAGATTTGATTAAGTTTGTTATTGCTTTGCACCCTATTAACAGCCAGGATCATTAAAGGTAGTGCCAGGTTTGGATGACGGAGGAAAGCAAGAGTTTCCAGAGAAAAACTATTGACCTGCAGCCAGTACCTTGCAACTGTCCCACATAGACCTCAAGTCTGACACCAAGAGGTGGAAGTTTAGTGATAAATATGGTCTGAGATGCTTTAACCACACAACCACACACTCCAATGTACATAAAAACTACCAGCTTATATATGATAGAAAGGCATGTTTTTTTTTTCTTTTTGACTCTGTATTAAAAATTCACCAGCAAAGAAAGTACACAAGTTTGCAGAAGCAAATTGGGCCATTGATGAGTTCATAAGTCTCAGAAAAAGAAGAATTTCTATACATCACAATGGTGACAGGTATCAAGGACTTCCCATGTAAGTGTTCCTGCACACAAAATCCATTTTCATTTTACCAATTAAGAAGTGATCATTAACATAAATGAAGCTGTATGGCTGCGAGCTTTGTGAGCAGATAAGCCAGAGAGAGGTGGACACCTGTTTGTAGAACCCAAGCTATTTGCAACAAGAGTTCCACCAGCCAGTAGATGATATGCCCATCACATGTAAAACGAGCATTTGGAAACAAATGAAAAAAAAACGGGGTGTTAAATGTCCAATCAACACATCAATGTCATTAACAGACAATGCCAGAACCTCCCTATGAAGTATTACATGTATCTGTGTGAAACTACAGGAGCTATCAAGAAGACACTGTTAAGGTAAATGAAATAAGGGGCAATAACTCTGTAAATTGCCAGCCAAAAATTGCAGTTATCAAACTACAATGGTAATGAACCTCCCTATGAAGTTTTAAGTTGATCTGTTGAAAACTAGCTAAGTTATTGAGTGGACATCATGAGTGCCCATCCACACACCCTCTCACATGATAACACACTCATCTTGTGATAGGCATGTAAAAACAGCAATTATCTAAGAATGCTCAACCTCATTCACCTGAGAATCACAATAATTATGACAATTTCATCAATGAATTACAAGAAGTACATCCTACAAGTATTCTGACTAATAGCTCACCACTTATGATGTACACCTTGCCTGGTCTGACCAGCACCACAGTTAAAGACATACTCTACATATTTTCAAATTTGACTCGTCACGTTGGGTAAGACAAAATTCAAGCAAGTGTTCAGAAATAAATATTTTCATCCTGTCAGGATGCAAGTGTAAATATGCATATTTGGAGATGGTACATCCTTAATAGTCCCGGGGTTAGGATCATTTT